CACACATGCACACACACACATATGCACTCACAGTCACACACAATGCACACACACACATGTACACACACACACACGCGCGCACACATACAAACCTGGTAAAGCAGCAAAACAATTCCCTCTCATTGGCAGAGGCGTCAGGATCCTGTTGCACTCAATGACTTTGCCCGTAACTGTCCTTAAGTCCACTGCCCAAAACTTATAATTTGCGTCTTTTTGTTTATTATAGCTGCCTTCTTTCTTACGCAAGGCAAAAAGCTCATCTGGTGTGATGTGTATCTGTCAAAACAAAAATTCATATTAACACTGGATTTTCATCTTTATAATCAATTAATTGATTAATTAAAAATAATTCAAACTATCATTCCAAATATATGTAAATGAATTGATATGAATCCTCAGCACAGTAATCATGATGGGAATAACAATATGAGTTTGAAGCAAAATTGCAACATATAGCTTCCTCTTTTTCGTGGTAACAAGAAATTATTAAAAATACTGTCACCTGGTTTCTGCTTTTGTGATGAGGACAGACATTACTTGCTGATTATGTTTTCCTAAAACGTACATGTTGAGAAGGTTTTGACCTCCCTTTCCTATTCGAACTGTTGGAATGAACTACCCTTTTGGGAAAACAATTTGATCCAAAACTTTAAATTGAGTCCTATGACTTTTAACAAGTTGGGTAAAATGGTTCAGTTTTTCAATAAAAAAAAATCTTTTGAACTGCTGGCTGAAGGCCCAACCCATCTCTTACAACTGAACTATCTGAAAAGTCTTACCTGGAAGCCAATATAATTGTCTGTCAAGGTCAGTTTGGCCTGGTGGTACTGGACAGGTTGCTGCAGGGGAATGACAGTCAGCACAGAGGCTTGGTGGATGTCATATACCTGAATGATCATAAAGTGAATGCTGCTGTAAAGTGTGGTTAAACATTTGAAGAGACAAACTTTTTACTGATGAATTCATATGTGTTGTGTAAATGAATGTGTGTGTGTGTGTGTGTGTGTGTGTGTGTGTGTGTGAGAGAGAGAGAGAGAGAGATTGGTAGCTGCTTTCTGACTTCAGAGTCCTTAGTTGAAGACAGTCTAAGTGCCACAGGTACTTGCTATATTGCCAATTGCTGCTTGTTTCCTGTGTTTCAAGACTAGCAGTGTCTTCGGTCACTCTGTTAATACTCACCTCTATCAAAGTGGCTCCCTGTTCCCTGTGACCCAATACAAACACTGCCTTGCTGCTGTCTCTGGTCAGAATGCACTCCATCAGAGGTGCACTGGAGTGGGTCAGAAGATCCACAGGGAACTGGTGAGATAGCTGGCCACTCTCTGCTGAAAAAATGAAAATCTCTAAAAATATTTCTGAATCACAGTTAAATCAAGGTAGCCCTTGCATATCCCCTACATATAAGAGCAGTGTATTTTCATTAATTGAGGATGTCTACAGAAATAACATTACAGGTTCTGGAGTGTATTTTATTTCTTATTTCTCAAAAGAAAGAGTGTAGAAAATTCTGCCTTAAAACAAATATGTCAGAAATCACAGATTCCAAATGTGTACAGTACATTCCATGTTCAATAAAAGAACTTACCACAGTTGCACTAAGTGCTCTATACTAGCTGGTCTAAGAATCTGCAACTAATTTAGTAAATTGATAAAAGTCAAGGTGTTTTTATTCTGCAAAAATTGGAAAAAAAACTGACAATCCGCAGATTCTTACCAATATTTCCTGTGTCCTGTAATGTGTATTTTGCTGAGACTGAACTTCCCTCAACACACACCAGCAAACACCTGCTGTCTGGGGACTCTGGGGACTCAGAGAATAGTACCTGAATAAATAACACCTTATAATTTGAATGCCTGGATAAAGTTTAATCAAAAGTGAAAATTAAAAAAACACTTATTTCAGAACCTTAAAAAAATACAAAAAAAAACAAAAATAAATAAATATAAAAAAATAAGAATAAATAAATAAACAAATTAATTAATTATAAAAATTGCAAGCAAGGAATGACTAACAATTGTTCTCCAAAATAAAATAATTTTAAATAAATAAAATCATTAAATCAATTACGTCACAGTAAACGTGATATGTTAAACATCAATGGATAGTCTACCTGTACTCTGTTATTAGCTCCCTCCTCCATCATTAATTCTTCACCAGGGTTCAAAGTCTCATCAACGCTCATATCAACGAGACTGATGAGGACAACTTCAAGCTGAGCTCTCCCTTCCTTCCTCTCCTCTTCCTCTACACAGGACTCAGACTGGCTCTTCTTGTAGATCAGCGCCATCTTGTCACCAGTTGAGCTGAAGTCAATGTCAAGCACTCCTGTGGTAGGGAAAGGAGCACTCTGGTCCCCAGATATCTGAGGTAGTGTAGTAGAGCTACTGTTTTCCTCTCCAGAAGAGTACATCAAACATGGGATGAGGGGCTCCAGGACGGGACTGAGACAGTGGGACAGGTACTCTCTGGACTGCTGCTGAAGGGATAGTATTCTGGGATGGTCTGGAATATGACAGAAAGCCATATTTCATACTGATATTTGATATATATAAAATATTATATATTGGTGTTAATGTAGATTTCATTTGAATACATCCATTACCTGACCTGATTTGGACAATTATTATTTCCATTGTAATGCAAGTAGCTATATGAAGTTAACTATCATCATAGAGTTATGATTAGTCATAAAAAACATTAACACCCTAAATATATCCCACTATAATTGTTATACAATTAATAAAGGCATATACTTATAGACAAAAAATATATATATGCCAATGTCTTAAACCAATTAGCATACCTGGAGATGCAGGCAGACAACCTAGTATATATACAGGTAATTTCAACGAGGATCTGCCACCAACGTTATCACAGCTGTCCATGTGAAGTAGACATTTATGTAACTGCAGTATCTCTTCATCTTCACTGTCCATGTCCAACCCGTCTCTTATGTCCTCCAGCACGTCTTGGAGAGAGAAAGCGGCCATCTTGGATACAAGGAAGTCAATGTTGAAGAGGACTTCTGACTTGAGTTTGTCAATGTTTCTGTAACATTGAAATAAGGTGGCAATTCTTGATTTGGGTAGAAATTGATCAATTTATATATAGCATCATCTGCAGTACTTATGACCATTGCCCCTTCACAGAAGACAGCTTCATAAATTAAACTTATTTTACTTTCAAAAACATCCTGTACAATTGATGTCACATGGTCAATGTTATCATCAATATATCTGACAAAAGTAAGAATTTTCGCTCTAGTTTTATAACAATGTCAATGAAAATAAAATGTGTAATTCTGATAAGACATGAATGTTAGATAAATAAAACTGAAACTATTTCAATAATTTGTTTCATACCATAAATTTTTTCAATACTAATATAACCATAATTTTAATAATCTTACTTGGACTTAACCAAATGATATGGCAGGCACATCAGTTTACGCCTGTTATTTGGTGTTGTCTGCTGCAATGTAATCTGTCTGTCTGCATCTTGGATGACCTTGTTATTTCTCTGCTCGAGGGTGATGGTGCGACATATACTGTCCTCAGCGGAGAACATGGTTACCAAAGTGCTGTGTAGTTGGGCTGCATTTTCCCCCTTGGTGTACCTGTGAATTAATTTACAAATATTTAGACATATTATTAAAGTACAATTTTTAATATTCTATTCCCTTTCAACAAGCACTTAATTTATATATGTTGCCACTTATACCCAGTTTGTTTAAGTCACAAAAGACAAAATCATATTCCACTGGCAAAATATTATTAATGATGACAATTTTCAATTATTAACAGAAACCTTATTAAATTCAATAATTTCTGAAATCTAAAACCCAACACAGTCAACTTTAAATGTGATTGTTGGCCAGGAAAAACTGCAAAAGACAGACAAAAATATGAAAACATCGTAGGTTTTGTAGCTATGAAAAGTGATTCAGGTAATCAAAAAGTATACCTTTCTGTTGCTGCCTCTATAAACTGTCGATGATACCAATTCAGGGTAATCTTACCATGACCTTGGCGTTGTACCAAATATTCCTTGATATCATGGTACACACGTGCCCAGAGCAATGGCGGAATACGTATGATTCCTTCCACAGGAGGATCATGGTAAACATACACCTTACTCAGAACGTCGTCCGTACATGAGAGAGCGTCCTCGATTTCTATCTCCGTCAAACCATTCAGTCCAACTGTAATGTACCCCAATGCTTTCTGGATAAGAAGCTCCCCATACTTATTCTCCAATCCAATAAAAAGTTGCAAAATGGCGTCTCGCACTGTTGTGGCCAGACTTTCCTTATCAACCTCTGTGTAGGACCGCCATGTTTTGGCCTGATCTAGGAGCAATTTCAGAAACAAAGGGCTCGGACTCTTTTCGAAAACTTCTAAAAACATCGTCTGTTGTTCATCTGTGAGTGCCCTCTTTTGTTTCTTGAAATAGGCCTTCATGATGTCTTGCGCTGTCACGACAGGAAGGGCTCTCAGCTCAAAATATCCTGCAGCCGCCGGCAAATCTGTCTCATTCCCATTCTCGCAATCAATCTGCAACTCCTTAACCAAATTTTTACGACATTCATTCTCATCTGTGGTCAAGGTGGAGATGACCATGCAAATATTACTGGGCAGTTCTTTGGGCACCCATTTCATGCTGTGTCCACCACTGGCTGGAGATAGCTGGTCAACAGAGTCCAGGAGTATTATTATAGGGACAGGAGAGGACCTGGCCACTGTTCTGAGAACCCACTGCAAGTTCTGTGTGACCTGGAACAAAGAGGAAACCTTTAATAACTTCAGCATGTTGAATAAATATATATTTGTATGAAAATGACATTTTTTTAAACCTGTTTTTTCTTTAGAAATACAACTTGGCCATGGCTAAGAAGCTGGGCCACAGTGAATACATCCCATATGGCACCTGCATCATATTAAATCTCTATCCAAGTCGCTGCCCAGCAGACAAATGGCATTGATTCACCATTGAATCAACGTTAATTTTGGTGGATCAACGTTGAATCAACGTAGAATCAATGTTGTTTGCCTGCTGGGTGGGTCATACCTTGACCTTGAGTGTCTAACCTAGGTCATAAGTGTCACATGTTGACTTACATGTATCTATCTATCTAGGTCTCTATAATCATGTGATGACCTATGTATCTATCCATCTAGGTCAGTAAGTTCAAATGTTGACCTATATGTGGGTCACTGGGTCCCACTCACCTTACCTTATTTCTCCTGAGCATGCCTGGAGGCATGATGACCTTGCAGGCCTTGGCCAGCTGCCAACAGATTCCCAGCAGCACACTCAGTATGTTAGTACTATCAGGAGATGTCCCCAGGAACCTCAACACCCGGATACAGCCGCCATCAAACCAATTTGGCAACTGCTCCATCACCTTGGCAACCACAGAGGTTTTCCCAACACCAGATGGGGCATGAAGCACAACTGGTCTCCGGTGCTTCTTGTCCAGGAGCGCCATCTTGATTTGTGAAAGGATCTCATCTTGTCCACAAAACAGTTCACATTTTGTTTGTGCAAAGTGAAGATGATGGAGAACCTGTGATAAAGAAGATAATTACAAATGTAATTTTGAAAGCATTCCAAAAACATCAAGATGCTAGATTTCAAAATAAATAACATTTTTTTAAAATAAATAAATAAAACCGTTTTTCAAAAGCATGACAGACACCAGGTCTCACAAATGCTACAAACACACATCAGGTCTCATAATTGTTTCTGTTCATACATTTCAAGGGTCTCCTTAATATTTTGATAGGAAATCATCAAGTGAATAAAAATTTCTTTCAAAATGCATTAAACAGACAGTGTAACATGGAAATGTATGTAGTACATGTGCAATTTAGTGTAATAATTAGCAATCAGCCATAATGAATTCTCTTCAGTTGGAAAGATGGCATCCAGAACACATTTATTTACCTCTCTGTAAACCTCAGCTCTCTGCTTTCTACTGGATCCTTCCTTAAGACTTCTGAACAATTTGTGATCGGAATCATCGTATGCTTTCTGTACAAGAGACATCATGTCTGACACAAAGTTATCACAGAAACTTTCCAAATATTGTTTGTCTTTTATAGGATTTATTCCTCCTGCAAGTAAAGAAGTAGGGTAAAGTATGAATTAAGACTGTATATTTTGCCCAACAGAGACCAACCATAACAAGAATCAAAATCATATATGAACTATGATAAAATCATAATGGACCTAAATGTGTTTACTATGTACAATAATATGCTAATTAGCAAATTGATTCTAAAACATGCCACAAAGTAGCCAGATTAATTTATTTGTGATGTAATTATGTTATGTGCACAAATCTCTCTCTCTCTCTCTCTCTCTCAAAATGTATGAACAGAGAGAGACTTGCCTGATTCCCATTGCACTTGAAACTTCTTAATACTGCTAAGATAAGTAGACACCTTGTCATGCAGCATGGTTCTGTATTTTGCAGCACAAGCATCTATCACCTATATATAACAAGTTAAAATATTATAAAACAAGCACCCAGTTTCTCTTGGTACAAAGAAAAACACATAAATGTATAACAAAAGAAAAAAAATGACGGAATATATAAAATGCATACCCCAGTGCATGCAGTTCCCCATCAGCTACAAATACCCATCCATGCATGTGAAGTGAGTTACACATGTATGAACACATACATTTGTGCATTTTCAGGACTCAATATGATATCATGGTTTTTGGCTGATTCTTCTTAATCAAAGACTTGTGCTGCGCTGTACACAGTAACTGGCCAGAGAGCTAGCGCTGTAGCCATAAACTGATTCAGAAATATATCCCAAAAGATCCATGGCTTCATTTTAAACAATAAATAATCAATTAATTAGGGCAGAAGCAATTACAATTCGCACAGAGATGACCTTGACCTGACCTTTGTGTCATCTTCCTCCTCCACTAAATCCAGGTGGCGCTGTGTCATGTCACCGTCTAGATCATCTTGGATTCCGACCAGTTCACGTATGTAACACAGGCAATGGGTGTCAATATCCTTGGCTTGGAATATGCCAGTCGTGATTTCTTCTTCAGTCACTGAAAAAAGAAGTCACTATTTAAAGTTACACTACATAAAACTGGCATGTTTTAATTGCATTGTTCCCTAAAAATATGAACCAGCTAATGCTCAAAATTCTACTCTTTGTCATCTATGTTCTAATCTTTGGGTGATTTTAAAGACTTGTTGTGTAGATTGAAGACATGAGTTCGTAAGTGCATCTACATATTAAAAACTCTCTCTCTGCTTTCTCTGTGCTCTCAATCTTTCTCTCTCTCTCTGAGTGCTCTCTCTCTCTCTCTCTCTCCTGGCTAACCAACCCTATACTTATATCCTGTAATACCTGACATAAAATACTGGTGCTCCCTCTCCCTGCTGATTCTCCCTCTATCTGCTAGTACCGTTGCAGTCTCTCTCAATATCAGCTGAAGTTTTCTAAATATTCTCCACCACTCTGCCTTGTCTTGACTAGACTGTGCTGCCATCTCTGGGCGAGGGTCACCAAAATGTGGCAGGTTTGTTCTGATTGGCTAATATGGAGTAGAAATATTTTGCAGTAAGAAAAAAGTTTCACATACAAGGGCTTCCCAAAGATTTGAAGTACAGGGAGTCCCAAATGTGACAGCTCTCTGAAGAAAGCCTTGTTCACATATTGAATTTCACTTCACAATTAATAACTACACAATTTTTTCACATAAACATATAGATCTGTGAAAAGAAAAAATAAAGAACAATCAGCCTACTTGTAATGTGTACATAGGTGGGGCATTGTTGTCGTCTCTCCTGTACCACTGCTGTAGCAATTCTTCATCTTCTGAGAAAGGAAGGAAGTTTTTAATTGCTTCAAACTCCTCAATGTCTAGCTCCAGTGGAAATGGTCGGTAACCATAGCGATCTCCAAGGAAACTCTAGGAATAATGATCATACAAAACAGTCAATTCTTGAAGTATGTCATACATAAATCTCATACAAGCAATTTATAATTCATAAAAAAATAAACATGACTTTTTAACTAGATCTTCTCTTTTAAAATATGTGTCCTAAGTATATAAAATACCACAGAAGGAAAAATTATCAGTTATTATGACTTGAGTAAAGAAAAAGTTGATTGATAAAAACAGGCAAGAAGCATTCCACATCATCTTACATACCACAAACATTTGCATGAATGCCTCTACAATCTAGTGATTAAAAAAATTATGGATAGATTGTACTGTTTCCATTAAATGCAGTCAAATAATTTTCATTAACATATCCTACCACAAAGTTAGGCCCAAACGACAACATCTGGCAATTTCTGATCTCGCTGATACACAACTTCTCCGTGGAGTGGTCATTTGTGGCATCATCGGTCACTCCCCATCTCATGTCCACTATCTGAAAGTCCAGCCCAAGGTCTCTGCAGGCAGCCTTCAGCCTGGGATAGCCTGTCTTGGCCAGTTCATCTCTCTCTGCTCTCATATCTGGAGGCAAGAAAATTTTACCACATGGCATTATTTGTAGGGTGCATGCTAAAATTAAACGTTATTTCTTTTGCAAACAATTAATAGACAAAAATAAACAGAAAAAAAAATGCTCAATATCAGTTCAACTTATCTCTAATCTGCCATGGGGACTTGATTTAAACACTGTCTACTGAGTCTATTAAAATTACAATTTTTAGAGTGAAAATTTATTTAAAACCATACTGAACTGTACATTCATTACTTCTGTGCAGATGCCAGCAAGAAAATAATAATAATAATAATAATAATAATAATAATAATAATAATAATAATAATAATAATAATAATAATAATAATAAATAAATAAACATAATCATCCAGCAAGCTTCTGGTAGAGACCATTGTAAGCATATATCACATATTTTACCTAGTATTTACCTGTAGAAATCCCTTTAAAACTTACCTGAGAAAGTGGAGCTGAGAAAGACTCTGACAACTGTGGAAGGAAGAGGAGGGAGATCTTCCAGTGTTCCACGCAACACTTTCTCTTTAACACTCAGCTTATTTATGGCAGGTAGCACTGAATTTAAAAAAGTAAAATATCAGTTATCAAGAATGTAAAATATAATTATATAGCATAAAAATTACATTGTGGATGATTATCTTCCAAAGAAACTGATTAGAAATTATGCACTTAAGGAAAACATATACACGTTGGTAAAAAAAAAAAGTGAGAATGTGTGAGATTGAAACATGACAAAAGAAATTAATTAATTAAAGAAAGCAAATCCAGACAAGTGATTTTCTGAAATTCTTTTATAATAGCTTGTTCCATTTGAGACATACAGTACCTGCATGTTTGGATGGTAACCCATTAGTAGATCTAAAATTAAAATTTTATACATAATTATCATTTTACAAATACTAATTAAATGCACAAAACAGTATAGTTCTGAAAAAAGGGTTAGAGGGGGTCATCTTTATATATTGCTGCCTTTTTACTTCCCTGCAAAATGTAGCTGTCCGCGGTTTTGAATCAGTGCTTGAAAAAAAGAGTTGGTGAATGTGTTTTATCTTTCAAAAGTTTTTTTTTTTTTTTTTTTTTTTAATTCAGAACTATGTTATCAGTCCAAAAGCAAAAGAATTAAGAAAGAAAGATAAACAGACTGAGAATTATTTTGATTGCAATGCCAAATGTGACTTTAGCCACATAATTCTTTCTGTGCTGCACCTACTATAATACTTTACTAAGTATACTGGAGTTTGATTCTAAAGTACTTCCCTGCAGACAATATCCATGTGCATGGTGCAGTATGATTATACTGTTACCTTTGTAGCTGTACATTCTTCCTCTGCTGTATGGGTTTGACATGCTGATCATTTTTCTTAGATTTATCAGTGGATCCCATCGGGCCTAATGAGAAAATTTGAATGCCTTATTAGGCCCTGTATGTAATATGAATGTTTAAGATTTATAAAATATAATAAACTTAATATCAATAATAATCTTTCTTAAAGATTGCCTTAACTATAGTAGATTGATTGCTATGGTGAAGGGTATCCATGCAGTGGTTCATTTAAGAATAATTGAAAATATTTTAATTGAAGGGCATAGGATTGTTCCTGTACCTTTTCCCAACCCAGACACCTGCAAAAAAGACCCCGGACCCCCAGGCTTTCTGGCAGCGACTTCTGGTAGCTGACCCTGTGAAAAAATAATAAAATTAATTGCATTTTAGAACTGCAGTGTAACAAGGTGAAATAAAAATTATATTACCATATGCATATTACATGCACCAGTATTAAAATGGTACTTATACCAGTACTGCATAGAGTGGGATGGATAATCATGTTCATCAATTTTATTAATTTTTAATTAATTTTTCCCTTACCTTATTAGGATCATTCCCTTTCTTCATAGTGGATGTTAAGTTAAATCAATCACTTGAGGTATTGGGAGTCATTGCAAATGTGCACAGTACAAGTGACGCACGTGTAACAAAAAAAATCTGAATTCTCCAACACTAGTATGTAGTGTGTGAAGCTGCAGCTTGCCTGGGAACCTTGAATCGCAGACTTCAGCCTTACTTAGGTACATGATAAAATACGGCAAGTAGACTGCAGCGCATTTTTCTGGTCATCTAAACTGAACTCTACCAACATCTAAGCATGCTCTGTATATCCAATTAGTTAAATGCAAAATTACTTTCTTTTTACATAGATGGCAGAAGCCTTAATCCCAGCATGTTGAGTTTGTTGATTACCTTTCACAACGAGGCCGGCAGGGATACGACCTTCACCTCAAGAGGTGAACATTAGTTTTTCCGGTTCATAACTATATTTTTTAATTTCTTAGGCTCTTAAACTAAGATTTACAAGTTTTAAAGGAAGCAGACATGTGATTGATGCTTTTTGCCTCAATTTATTTTTGAAAACAAAGGAAAATAAATAGATAATTAATTAAATATATATCACCGCCAGGTGGCAGTTAAACTTCCGTTTTGAAGCCGGATGAAGATTTCTGAGAAGCCATACTCAGCTTCCGCAACGCCCAAATGCGTAGGTTTCCAAAGACTCCACCAAAATAGAGCAGGCGACAGTTATGTGAAGGTTTGTTGTTTTTGTTTCACTCTCGAGAACTATTGTTTTATTGTTTTGGTCCTAAACGTGCAGGGAATTCACCCAGTACGTCTTCACGACTCAACTCTCCAAGGTGGAGAGTCCATTTTTTGTATCAAGTTGTTTACGAGTTGAATTGCAAAGTACAGCGCTGTAGTGATTAGGACATCTCATTACCGAATGTAAGAAAGGCACATTTGGTTGTCTTTTCTTGGTTTTTGATACTATATAATTAATTCGGTGCCATTTAAGAGAAAAGAATTTTAGAATTCTATTAGTATTAAATATGTATATCATATTGGGTTTTATTTTTATTATTACTTGTATTAGGAGGTGTGAGAGAGTGGACATGTATTGTTAATTGTATCACAGTCATAGAGCTGAAGGTGGCTTTGATTTGACTTGAAATCCAGCAGGCTGTAATTGACAAATTCTTCATTTATTGCTGCCAAGTGGTATGTCAATATGAATTGTGTGAAAAGGACCAACATATGTGTAGAACTTAATTCTTAGATTGGCTGGCCTGCAGGGGGTATAAGACACCGAGATGTGTAGTTTATGCACTGTAGTGGTGAAGTGGGAGAATTTGAGAGCTCTTTTAACTGATATTAAATAATGGTCCGTACAGAAAACAGTTATTCCTTGTAAAGTAACAGCCAAAGAATATATATGGAAAATAGAGCATTGTTGTTTAAATCAGATAAAGCACTTCTCATGTGGAATTTAATACCAAATTAATTGGCAAGACAATGTCCTGTGACTCAAATAATGTACTATTTTCTCTTTTTATAAATGTCATGTTATTTTCATATTTAATCAGATATATGATAGATTTTTTTTGTGTGTAATGGGTCATCTCTATGATAATTTCACAAGTTGTTGTTCTGGTAGGCTGTGCCATGAGATTTTTAGGGAAATTATGACTTCACTTTCATCCAGAGTTGCATAATGACTCATTGTTCCGTGCTATCAGGTCAAGTGGCTTCTCATGCACTTAATACAAACATCAGTTTACCTCTAAGACTCGTGTTTCAAATTGTGGTGACATATTACTTGTTATTAACTGCTTACTTTTACAATTTCAAAGGTGAAAATGACTCAGGTATGCTTGTCTCTGAAATGTTTTGTCTGTTTTGGAAGTAGGCCAGAGCTAATTGCACAATCATGATTGTTTTGGGAAGATGGGATCATTGTTTTGGAATTGAATAGAAGGTCATCTTATCAGCTAGCAGGCTAGCACCTACTTACATTCATTATTATATTTCTTATTCATCTGATTGCAGTTATTATTTATTTATTTATTTATTTATTTATTTATTTATTTATTTATTTATTGTTGAGTATTGGAAAGTTCTGATACAGTGAATAGATCTGCCGTGGTAATACAATCTCTGGTGAATAGAAATAACGTTTTGAACAAACTACATCAATTGTTGTATAAAATATCTTTGTCATATATATATATATATATAGTACATACGTGTATGACTCATCCTGGTTACCTGAAGTAGTGTCTATTGTCAGGTGTTCATTATTGATTTGCTTACATCCTGGTTCTGTGTCACTGAAAACTGTGTTAAGGTGTGCCTAGGACCTTTAATGAATATGGCATTGGCTCAGTAATTTCGAACACCTCACATTTTCAAAATTTNATTATGGTTTCCACTTATTGTTATGAACCTGTACATATACATATAAGATGAATGTCCTAAACTTATATAATTTTGAACGCTTAATTCAAGCGTGGGCTCGAAATAGGACATTATGTTTTCATCTAACTTAGTGGATAACACGATCCAAACATTCCACGGTTCGTGTCAGATTTACGTTAGGTCCTGCAAAGAAAAGCCAAGTCCACATAATGACCAGTTTAATGGTTTTTGGTTAAATCTCTTGGGCTACATGTTCTACGTGAAGCCTCCAACTTCCAAGCTGTCTCCCATGGCTCTGTCGAGCGGTCACCTTTGCGTCATCTTCAGTCTGAACCCCCGATATTAATTCTGAATGTCTTTTATACAATATTTATTATCAGTGGTGGATTCTGTGCTGCATTATTTGGCGGTACATACTAATTTTTAATCATTCAAATTGCACACGTCCACTTACGTTATATAACTACAGGTAAGGCCATAAAACGAGTCGAGTGCACAAGCAATCAACTCCAATCAAATTAATTTACATGTCTGGAGGTAATAATTGTGAACTGAACATTATGGGACATAATATAAAATTCATAATAGGCTTATCTAAAACCAGTCTCTTTTTATGTCAGTTAGTAGGCCAGTCCCTGTTTTTATCATTTCTCTTTTTCTTAAGTGAGTCAGTTATAAGCTAGATATCACTATGCACTGTCATGTTGCTATTTATCAAAGGTAAGCTTATATCCAACATTCAGATTGAATCGTCTGTTAAGGTAATTATAATGCCTTTTTGATATTTCTGTGTGATGACCTGAGGATTATTTTCACTTTGTATCAAGATAATGAAATTGTATTGTTGTCTCTATCGTGTACAATGTAAATAATCTTATGTATAATGTTCATTTAAAGCCATTGCTGTTTTATCTCAATGCTAAATTCACAACAAACTAAATAATGGCTCAATACATTTTATTTCACTTTAGAAGCTTGTCATTACTCCAGGACACTTTTAAAACCATGTTCATTTGAGATAAAATATTCTAGGGTTATATATTGCTGTATTATGAATTAATTTTTCTCAGTTTCCTTGTTCAAATTGATATAAAATTAAAATGTTTCCTGTACTTATGTCAGCTTGAGCTGACTGGGTTTAACTTCATTTTACTTTAGGACCGCCGATGCTGGTGCAATGAAACGGCAGGCTATGGACCGAAACGACCGAAGCAGTGCTACTACTACCGCGGCTCTGTGCAAACTGGAGAGCTGGAGGAGGCGTGCCAGTGCCGCAAGTGTAAACGGGAAGGAGATTGTCCTCTGCTCAGGGATAAGAATGGAAGTCAGTGCCTTTTATTTATTTATTTATTTATTTATTTATTTATTTGATTTTTATGTGTATATATAATTTTCATTTCCTGATTTATTTATTTATTTAATTTTTATTTATTTATCAATCAATTTATTTATTTGATTTTTATGTGTTTATTCATTTTTTTATTTGTTTGTTTATTTATATTTTATTTAATTTTCATTTCTTGATTCATTGATTTAATTATCATTATTATTTTATTTTACATTTTTTTTTCTTTACTAAAACAACATGCGATTAAACAAGAAAAAAACCAAACAAATGGCCATATCATTTAAACGCAAGAATGCAGATATCCCTAAGCTCGTTATTGACAAAACAGATATTGAATTTGTAGCATCATTTAAATTGCTTGGAGTGTATATCTCTAACACCCTGAGCTTCAGAGATAACTTGCCACTAACCTCTTCACTATAGCCTATCTTCATCGTGTCAAGTTACCTCTGACCACATTCGATTGCCTCTGCCGCCCGCCAATCAAATTTAAAGCCCGCACTCAATGACTCATTGAACGATCTAGCCAATGAACGCGAACGAGTCAAAGCGCGCTTTGTTCAAATCCGGACCAATCAGAGATAAGGCTCAATATCAGGGACTTGCCGTAACCTGTGGGCAGCACGCAAAATACATCATCCCTCAGTAGATAATGATGCAGGGCCTCAAACTGCTCTGGTTTCAATTCCGATATACTCATATTTTGCAAAGAATCAAGAGATAACTTAACACATTATTTTACGTAGTCACTCATAGAAGACGCCATGCTTTCTTTGTGTACGGTTATGCACTCGGCACTACTCAGATGTCTCCGCACTCGACAATAACTTTGTTGTTAGTATGGAGCTTGCGAAATCAGCCGAGGATTACCGATTGATGGTCAACCAATCAGCGTTTTCACCAAACTTTGGTGAAAAATTTTGAAACTTGGATTCGATTGGCTTATATAAACTAGGTCAAACTATTTTTGTCAGAGGTAACTTGACACGATGAAGATAGGCTATAGTGAAGAGGTTAGTGGCAAGTTATCTCTGAAGCTCAGGGTGATCTCTAATGACCTCACAATGGAGTGTATATCTCTAATGACCTTCAAATGGAAGACTTCCATTATAGATTTATTAAGATATCAAATGGAAGTTTGTTTTAAAATTCAACAACTACCAAGAAATAGGGAGCATTCACATCGAAAAGAGCGGAGGTATTTAGGCCGCAACCTAAATATGGGGGACCTACATGAAAGGAAGACCGCGCATCCTGTTAATCCTCAGCACGCGTGGTCCCAGCAGGACCACAGTAATTAAATCTCAGCTCAATTCAACCGGTCGAGGGACAACTCGTAGAGGGAGGAGAGACTATTAAAAGAATAGCAGTCTTCCTTTCATGTAGGTCTGCCATATTAAGGTTGCAGCCTTACTAGACCACAGCTCTTCTCATCTTAAATGCTCCCATAGTATTGGTGTTCAAGCATTTTTTAATTAAGTTGATGTATTTATTTTCATTTATTGTATTTATTGGGCTGGCAGTGATTTCATCCTTAACACTTTGACTTAATAAATTCATCAATGTGCTTACTTAGCAAACATAAGAGTAAAAATACAATATCAAGATTTCAGCAGGGCCTTGGATGTGCAATATCTTCATTGGTTTTTGTCATGTCTTATATATATATATATATATATATATGTTTGATCTTATACATGAAACATTTCAGTCCTACTTGAAGAACTTACACTAGATGTGGGTCATGAAAGTATAGGTTTGAACTCTTGTCGGCCTTGCAGTGGGTATGTAAATACAGTTGAAATGGCATTATATAAATTCTAATAGATTTGCAGACATGCTGAAAACTTTTCAGAACTGCCGGACATTCGGACCGGCAGTGATGAAAAATTTGCCGGACCGAATGGACTTTTGCTGGACCGAAAAAATTTCCATCAAATATGGATACGTTTCATTTGCATAGCAGTACACAGAAGTAACTCTTGTAAATACATATTCAGTAATACTATCAATAATTTGGGCATGTTGTATATTTTAAAAACAAAAACTGACACTACGAAGTTGGGAAGCACTGCCTTATTGTTCTCATTTCACAAGTTGCAGGGTTCAAACAGACCTTAAGAAGAGTTTGAATTTGTTTTTTCCTTTGAAAGTCCTTGAATTTCACACTTTGTCCTTTAATTCAATGGTACAGCATGTATGGCTTAATTTTTTCGAGACTTGCCATCTTAGCAAGTGTCTCACTGCTGCCAGCCTGGCACTCACCATGCAATGCCTTCCAGCTCTCACCACTATTTCCAAGTGCCATAAATACATGTATTATAGTACATTTTAATTAAATATGGTAAAAAAAAGCAAGGAATTCATCATGTTTCACATCTGTGTCATAAATGGAGATTAATTATAACTTTTATCATGATCAATTTCTCAAAAACTTAATGTTGAGTCATTTCAATTTGAAATGAATTTGCTCAGAAATTAAATGAAAATTCAAAAACTCATTTCCACTGTTCAACAATAGCAATATTTGCTGTTGATCAATTTCTTCTTTTCTTGAAAATAATTTGCAAATATTTTCATGCTACAGTACACAGACAGTACATATTAGATATTGTAGTCTGAATGTGAGTGCTAGTGCATGAAACATGCTAGCCACTGCAATGTATCAGTCTCCTCTGCATGGAAACGAACGGCTTCCTGATCAGGACTGGACCATACCATAATCTAAAATATTAAATAAAAAATATTGATGATGTGAAAACTGTAACTGGTACTGGTAACTGTTATCGCGTTAATGCTGACTGGATATTTAAAATCTGTAAAACAATAGGTTCATACACCATGGATCAATTTTCTACGGTAGGTTCGAGGAAGCGACCGAACTGCCATACTATCGGCGATATGAGGAAGGCACTACCGCGTATTAGCCGAATACAAACGAAAGTTCCCATAAGTTAAATAACCATTACAATCACCACTAATTACGCATAAGATTCAGTCCTTTAATTCTGAAATCGTTTTTACTGAGTGAATCGGGTGACCTCATTTCCACGTAGGCCTACTATCGACGTTTTTACCCCAAAAGAACAACTAACAGTGTCTACGTACCTTGAAGGTCGAGCGTCAATATCCTGGCTTTCTATACGAATAACTGTTCTTGAAAAAGGCATCAGGCGTCCAAGTTTAGCAGTAAATATTTGCCCGGACAAGTTTACATGTGCTTGGCAGCGTGGACCGCCCTCGTGATAGATGTCTGTATGTCACAACTAATAGGCCAATGACAGCGCGCGTAATATCGAGAGCAGGGGGATTCCTCATGGGGAATTACCCATTCGTTTGAGACGGATACTACGATTGGCTGGCGTACTTTGTTAGTGAATGTGACCAAAATGTGATCATATTTACATGTCGCTCGATTAGTAAATGGTAGAAAAAAATGATGTGGCTTTTTAAATAATTTTATTCTTGAAGTACATCGGACGATGACTGTAAATTCAAAATGGCGGCTCTTAAAATTCTTGTCGGTCCTTTGGACCGACTAAGTCCAATTTTTTACCGGTCCAGACAAATTTTGCCGGTCATGACCGATCGGACCGACAGTTTCAGCATGTCTGATGTTTAAGAATCATTATTATCATATTTTGCAGTGTGGAGCCTCTTTAATTGTTGACCTGTTATTTCCATTGTTTTCCAGAACTTTGAACCAGGAAGAGTCAACCAATGTGAATTTCAGTGTCAAGTAGCTGAGTAGTTTTGTGTTAGAGACACCGAAGATGAAGACAGTAAATATGGCAGCAGTTCTCAAAGCCTGCCTCTCTTCCCTGCTGATATTTAACTGTGCGGGAGATGAAGGTGAGTAGATGACAATCCTTGTTTGTAATATAAAAGGGATGATAACTCTTCACATGAGGTCAATATTTCACAATATTTAAATACATTATAAACAACTGATAAAAATGTAATGAATTTTATGTTACCACCTAAATGGGGGTTATGGCAATTATTCTGTCATCTGTGCTTGCCACTGGACCACATGGACCTCTATAGCTGGCTATATATGTATGATAATCTCTTAACAGATTATAACAAAAGACCAAACTTTTTAGAAAAAAAGAGGGACTAACTTTGAATGTCAAAAGATTCATTAACAGTACTATTGGTAAGTATGGGGAAATTGTTGTTTCCCTCGGGAAAGTCTGCTTTTGGGAAAAAAATCTGTTATAAATCCCTTTAGCCATTCTCTGCCCTGTCATTTTAACAGACACCTTGAATATTTGATTTGAATCATCAAGTGAAAGAATTGATGAGGCTGGCACAGAGAAATGTGGGGGGTAGTACTACGTACTAGTACTGACATGCAATTTAGAAATCAAGAGTAATTTGTATAAATAATTCAGTACAGTAATAAATCGGATCATTTTAATCGATACATAATTTTGGAATCATTTGAAATGTATTTTTTGTAGCGTTTGGTGCTTTTACTGTATAGTTGTCTGCTTTTCAACTGAGCTTTACCACTCAATAAAAGTGTTCTAATTTTAATATATTACTTGAATACAGTATCTGTAAAAATCACAGTTTGACTCATTATCGTATGTTTAGAATTCCACGAAGTAAAATTTAAAAATGTGATTTTTTTTTTTCAGTTTTACTAATGAGGAGTACTGATACATTTGACAACTGGACGATGCTACAGTTAGATGGGGATGACAACAGTGACCCTCAGACACAGTGGACAAAAAACAATGTCCTAAAAGCTTTTGACGTGCGAAATTTCGCAGGAAACCAAAACAATTGGGTGGTCTCTCCATTCATATCTGTAGATCCACTGGTCACCTCCGTGCGGGTGAGAATGAGTTTTATACTGTACCAATGTGACTACACCATATACACTGTTGACCAGTGCAAACAGTCCTTTAAGTTGTACTCCAAAGTGTCAACCAGTGGACAAACAATAGACGCAGCTTTTGTGAATAGTTTCACAGAACGAGGTCAAGTCGATTTGAATGACCCCGGCAACCCAGATAGTAAAGATACAACCTTTAACATCACCGCCGGGTCCGCAGGGTTTTACGTAGCGTTGAAAGACGAAGGCGCCCACATACAGGGCGTGACCATTGAAGTACATTACTTCAAATGTATTGCTCTACAAAATGGGTTGATATCCTTCCCGGCTTCGTTTCCATCAGACACTGTGGTAACGGGTCAGTGCGCGCCGAACTCCTCACCTGTTGGGTCCCTGGAGAGGGTGTGTTACAGCACAGGGCAGTGGTCCTCGGGGACGGGCTCTTGTGGATGCGACCCTGGGTTCGCCAGGAACAGCTCTGGAAATGCGTGCTATCGTAAGTGGGAGATTAAGGTCTGCAGAACACTGTTGATATTGTTTGTCATTCTATGGATGTAAAGCTGCCAGTATTTGATTTTGAAGTTTTGATTGAGATGAAGACATTCTCTCTCTCTCTCTCTCTCTCTCTCTCT